CGGACCATGGTCTGGGGTGATCCGGGATGGTCCGGGATGTTTTGTTCAAAAAAGTGTGATGCTTTTTAAGCCCCAGTCCATATAAAGCCGGACCAGCACGGACGAGCACGGACCACTCCGGACCATCCCGGACCATGGTATGGGGTGATCCGGGATGGTCCGGGATGTTTTGTTAAAAAAGTGTGATGCTTTTAAGCTACAGTCCCATATACGTCCCGGACCGTCCCGGACCATCCCGGACCCCATCCGGGGTGATCCGGGATTCGGTCCGTGTTGACACCGTGTTGGCACCGGGGTGGTCCTGGATGGTCCTGGATGGTCCTGGATGGTCCTGGGCGGTCAATACTCACTCCCGGACTGCCACGGATCAACACGGACCGCCCCGGCGCCACTACGGATGACCCCGGACCCAGCACGGTGGCTACACGGATCACCCCGGATCAAACTATTGTCCCGGACCGTCCCGGACCACCCCGGCAGTTTTTGACCGTCAAAAACATCCGGGGTCGACTCCCGGACCGCCCAGGACCATCCAGGACCATCCAGGACCATCCAGGACCACCCCGGTGCCAACACGGTGTCAACACGGACCGAATCCCGGATCACCCCGGATGGGGTCCGGGATGGTCCGGGACGGTCCGGGACGTATATGGGACTGTAGCTTAACATTGTATATAGCAGTTTCAGTTTGTGAAAAATAGTAACATTTCACAATCCTAAAACCTGCAATTGACACTTTTCCGCTTACTTACGGCTCACGAAAATAAAAGTAAATTTGTTCATGTACAGTTCTTTATGATGTTAAATGTCAGATTATTGCCCACTCATGCTCAGTGGAGGAATTTTGATTAATATTTCAGGAAACTTTGCTCCATTTTCTTTCGCTTGCCTTCTATACGGGTAAGCAACGTGCACCAGTGGCGGATCCAGGAGGGGGGCCCCCGGGGGCCCGGGTCCCCCCCCCCCCCTTGAGAAAAAAATCATGCAAAATCACGCGATTTTTTACCTTTTTTGGGGTTGGGCCCCCCCCCCCCCCTGGCGCTCAAAGGGGGGGGGGGGTGCAAATTTTAAAATTTTCGAGGACCAAAAAAAAAATTGAGCTCACTACCCCCCCCCCCCCCCCCCCCCCCCCCCCCCCCCCCCCCCCCCCCCCCACGAGCTGCCGTGTAAATAAGAATTACACACCCGGGAGTGTCTGTCTCTGCGTGAGTTACGCTGGTCGGTGGAAGATCGTGTTAACTTACTCGTGGTAAGTTGGTCCGAGTATTAGCATGTGGACAACTATTGGTGCTGGTGCAAGTGAAATATACATGAGGTATTTACTGCTGCCGGGATTAACTTACACCGACTAACAAAACCCCGCCTGCACAAGACTATTATGACTTTCCCTACCTAACAACACGGATCAAATGTAATTGTTAGCCTGATTATTGAAATACAATTATTTGCAACAGATGAATGACAAAATAATTCGTATCGAGGCGCTTCACAAAGGCATACGGTGTAGGCATAAATTTGGTCACATTACGAAAAGTAGTTGCGATCGTGTCATATGTAATGTAAAGATCATTTCTTTGACAAATCGGATCGCAAGCTGATTGTGTAGCATATGCTGGGCATGGGGTGTATGAGCGGTAGGGAGGGGGGGGGGGTACTTTTACATGCGCATCAGCAATAGGTCATGTCATACTAGGGGGTCGTCTGTTCAAATTTCAGACAAATTTATCTGGAAATAAGAATAGGAGTCCTCAGACTTTCAAAATTGCCAACATCGCCATGATCGCTGATAAAAAATGGTCGTTATTCTTTATCTTGTTTCTGTTCAGAATGAGCATTACGAAACTGGACATTCCGACCGCTTCACTAACTACCAACCCGGCAGCACGGGGGCTGACTCTGAAGACGAGTGGAATCTCCCTCAAGGTGCATGGGCAGTATCGCTACAACATATGTGTCTTTTCATTTTGGTATATTTTTCATTCTTTATGGAATTGTGATATATTATATATTACCCCTTTGTTCAAAGGTTCAACCTTTCCCCCTTTTTTTTTATCTATTTCTGGATGAGCAACAGTTAAATGAATAGAGGAATCATAGTACTATAGCGGTTCGTTCACCTGACTTTCAATCAACGAGTTGAAAGTTCGAATCCCAGCCCGGCACTCCCGTCTTGTGGCTAAAGTTTGATTTCACATTACCATTTTTCACCCGGTTGTTATATGGATACCAGGCAGGGTTTGTTCCTTGAAATACATTGTGCGCTGGTTACGGCTGCTAGACCTGACGCCAGGGTAATCAAAATCCTTTGGAAGCGCGAATGGACGTTATAGTTCCCTATAATTATGATAATAATTAATAAAGATAATAATGATGGTAACAACAATGATAATATCAATAAAAATGATGAGATGATAATGAACCCCTTCTTGTAGAGTGCATATAACATTATGATTGTCAGAATATAAGAAGAGTTTGTTATCGTTATTACAATTGTTATTATCATTATCTAACATCAATATTATTGTATTGACATTATTGTATAAGATTATGAAATACAGGAAGAGTTTGTTATCATTATTACAACTATTTTTATCATTATCATTATTATTGCTATCATTATCTAACATTAATATTTTCGTATTAACATACATGTTTTTGTTAATTTCTTAAGTAATGTGAGTAATGTTTGATCTTCTTGGTAATTTAAGTAATGTTAATTTTTTAAGTTTTGTTAGTAATTTTTGATCTTCTTGGTATTTAAGTAATGTTAATTTGTGTATATAAGTTTTAAAAAAAATCTTGGTTATTTAAGTAATCTTAATTCCATTAGTAATATTGATTTGTGTACAGCGCTTTGAAACTTTTATGTCACAAGTGCTATATAAATTGTTCATATCATTATTATTATCAGGTGGGCTGTATCTAATACAGACCACCTTATAATTTTGTTAAAATTGCCTTTATTATTATTATTTATTATTTATTATTTATTTATTTTTCTTATTTTGCACCACTTTTTTGTTAACAAGATAACTTTAAAATGGTTCAACCAAATATCTTGAAATTTGGCACACATATGTATAGGCATATGGACAAAAGAAGGTAAGGTTTTCAACCTTGACCTTGACTGATGACGTCATCTAGGCGTCATTTTGTGAATTTTTCTGAAAATCAACTCATGATCATATCTTCATAACCAAAAGTTATTTCTCATTCATATTTATCATGATCAAGGTCAATATCAGTCCGGTTAATTTTAGGTCAAAAAACGCGCGCGTGCGCGTACGTCCGCGCGTCAGTGCGCGCGCAAAAAATTTAAATGCTCAAAATCGTCTCAAGTTTATTTTGCATACGTTTCAGGTTATTTAAAGCATTTTATAAAAAAAAAATCGCGCGCGCGCGTTTTCGCGCGTACACCCTTACACAACATAGAATTGCCATTTCTTTTTCTTTCATGATATTTCTCATGTTTTTTCAAACAATTTGATACCATGTTTATCTCTTTATGACCATTAATAACAAGATGAGCGTCCATTAAAGATAAATGTCCATGTGCGCGAGCTCTTGTAATACATAGCATATATGGGCAAAAACATGCCTATACAAATTCCATTATAGCTCTTTGGGATGGAACTGGACCCCCAATATTTTTTCTAATTTTGATAGAGAATGAGTCGGAAATATGATTTAATGTCTCATTTGGCTATTAAAAATATTTTTACATCATCATAATGGCCTTCGAACTAAAAATAGGAATTTGCATATTATGACGTCAGCATATTTATGGAAAATTGATTGTATCTCTGTATATAATGATTGATTTTCTTCAAAATTTCCATATGTTGTAGCTAAGATAATTCTCTACAAGTTCAATACTAACCATATTTCATTTTGATGACGTCATCAGAGTGAAAATTTCGATTAAAGGCCTCATGTCAGAAATTTCACAATTTGCGTGTTATGACTTTGAAGGTGAATTTCGTTCACGTAATGAATCTACATGATATTGTTTATTAAGAATTTTTAAGCAGTTTCTCGCTTATTTTTGCTCTATTTTGTTTTCAAATTTTAGTTGACCAGCCCACCTATACTTGTTCCAAACAAGTATTATATGTCTAGTTATTATGTATAGCACTACTACGACAAAGTGTGACTTCTGCAAATCGCTTACTTTTCTCTTCTCCTGAATCTTAGTACACTTCTCCCATTATGGGACTCGGGAGATTTTGACGCGAGTGCCTCATCTATCTCTTTATCTTTAACGCTGAAGATAGGTGAGTTCCTACCAATAAGAAAACATTTTAAAGCATTTTCATCCACAAATAATTACTTCATTGTGAGAATAACGTAGATATCATTGGTAAAGGATAGCAGGCCGTTAATTTGAGACTGCGGACACAGAGAGAGAATTACAGTAAAAACTTATTAAACATTTTGAGGTACTTTATTATGAAATATTTTGGATGCAGTTTTATATAATTAAACAACATGAGAAAATAGCCTAAATAATTGGCTAAATACTGTGAAACAGTATTGAGGAAAGAATATCACGACAGTCGTGATATTCTTTCCTCAATACACTGTATTCGTTTTCTTTTTGTAGGAGTAGTTAATCAATACCTGTCCTGATCAGTCTGACAAACTTTTCTGTCATCATAAGCTTTTTCATTTGTTACTAACAATTTAGGATATAGGGCGCTGTTGTGCTGCTGCCAAACCTCCCAAATTATTGTTGATCTTGGTGTATCTGGAGATTTTTGTTTAATCGGAGTTAGTGTCATGTGGTTTTGCTAGTGGTTGTCGCCCTACTAGACAAGTTTGACATCGATCCATCATTTTACTTTTGAGTAATTGAGTATGATTTCTGATCATGTTTGGACTGTCTTGCTGCTGTATTTGATACACTGTAGTAAAGGGCATATAGCTGAGAGTACAGCTATTGTTAACCCACACCAACAATAGATGAGCTTCTGGCTGGAGTGTGGATGAATGGAGTAATCATGGATGACCGCACCCCATCCATTGTTGTGAAGTCAAGTTCTCATGTCGATGGATCTAGAATGTGTTATACAAGGCAAGCCTTGTTTTCTCTTCGCCATAGCTATGGGACTAAGTGTCTTTCCCCTGATACTTATGCTCACTTCAAGGAGTTGGGTATCGATCATGTGAGAGGAATAAGAGGTGGATGTCATATTCATAGGAGGACTGGCAATACACAGATGCAGAAGTATACACAGAAAAAGTATGTATTCACTCAGGAGATTGAGAATGACAGTGGTGGATCTGGTTCTGGTATGATTCCTGTACTTTTGAGTTCCTGCAGAAAACCAATTTATAGCCTAAAAGCGGGTTTTGACGGTGTTAATTTGGTGCCAATTCAGAGAGAGGTATGATAAGCTCAATGTTCACCTTTGGAACTGCAACTCGCTCAGAAACAAAACATATCTTTTAACTGATTACATCTTGGAGAACAATGTTGATATTATGTTTTTGACTGAGACGTGGTTGAAGAGTGAGGATCCAGTGGTCATTGGTGAAGGTACGCCGTCAGGATATACATTCATTAATGTACCACGAGGGAGGGAGGATGCCCATGGGGGTATTGCTGTGATATCTACAGAACTGGGCTGAACCTGTCTATCATCAATGTGGAATCTACACATGATTCTTATGAACGAGTCTGTGTTACTGATCCTGCAGGAATGGTGTGCTATGTTGTGATCTATCAGCCCCCACCTTCTACGCGGAACGGCCTTAAAACTAGTGACTTTCTTGCAGATTTTGATGAGCTGATCAGAGAGCTCACAACTCGTTCATTCAAAGTAGTACTAATTGGGGACTTAAATATTCATGTGTACACTCCCAACAAGCCTGAAGCAGCTCAGTTTCTCTCTTCACTTGAGAATGCAGGTCTCCAATAGCACATCCAGGATACGTCCTACTCACAAATATGGTCACACGCAGACGCTGGATCTGATTATTTCTAAGGACAATGATGATTCTTTTGTAACATCGTGTCACGTTCATGAGAAGTCATATTCTGATCACCATTTTCTTAGCTGTGCATTAGATGTGGGAAAATCCAAGTTGAAGTATGTGACCTCGGTTTCGCGTAATTTTCGCAGTCTTGATAAAGAGTCCTTCCGTTCTGGGATAGCTGAAGCAGTTGTAGACTTTCAAATAGATGGTTCTGCGGATACACAGGCTTTATTCTACAAGTGCGCCATCTGTACAGTGCTGGATAACCTATGTCCATCCACAAAACGGACTCATAAATTTTCGCTCACATCCAGCATATACACTGACGAAATCACGGATCGAGACAGCACTTCTGAAAATGAAGAATGATATCCTGCAGGCTATAGACATGAAACATGTGACTTTTGTTTAGATCTTTCAGCTGCCTTTGACTCAGTAGATCATACAATCCTCCTTGATCGACTATCCAAAGTGTTTAATATCACAGGTGGTGCTTTATCCTGGTTCACTTCTTACCTGTCGGGTCGCACCAGCAGATGCAAAGTAACATGTGAACTATCTACTCGACAGTCTCTTGATTACGGCGTACCGCAGGATCAGTAATCGGACCGCGACTCTTCAGCATGTACACGCAACCACTATCGGACATAATTGGACAGTATGAAGGTTTGCGCTATCACTCATATGCAGACGATATTTCATTGTATGTTTTTGCTGATCCTAGGAGTACAAAATCAATGAACCATGCTCTTTCATCTTGATCAAGCTGTTTTGAGTATCTACAGAAATGGATGGCGTGTAATATGCTGAAGCTAAATTGTGACAAAACTGAGTTTCTTGTAGTATCTACCCCACAAGCACGGCAGTATGTGTCTGATGCCAAACTGTCGATTTCTGGCCACTCGATCAATCCAACAATTGCTGCAAAAAATCTTGGTGTGGAGTTTGATTCAGCACTCAAGATGGATCGTCACGTGTCATCCCTCTGTCGTGGACTTCACTACCACCTATCAAATATATAGGTCGTATCAGACCTTTCGTAGATGCGAAAGCATGTGAGCATGCTGTCCGAGCTAGTTGTCTCGTCTTGACTTTGCCAATTCATTATTGTATGGATCGATCAAGTCATCACAATCTCCAGAAGATTCAGAATCGCGGAGCAAAGTTGAACTACTTGGCCCGTAAGCACGATCATGTCACCCGTTGCTTAAAGAACTACATTGGCTTCCAATCAAGCAACGCATTGAGTTCAAGATCCTGACGGTTGTCTACAAGTGCATCCAAAACAAAGCTCCAGTGTATCTCAATTCTCTTATCGTACCCTACCAATCTGCTCGTCCTGGCCTTCGCTCGTGTATAGTGACAGCACCCTGCTACACGTTCCTCGAACATACACCAAAGCTTGCGACAATGCTTTCCATGCATGTGCTCCTCGACTCTGGAATGAGCTTCCACGTTTTATTCGATTAGCACCTTCGCTGGATGTCTTCTGAAATTGTGACAAAAGTCTCCTCTTTGACCATGATCAACAATATATTCTTTGATAGTTATTAATTAAAGCGCTGTGAAACAACAGTTAGTTGTAAGCGCTATAGAAATGACTTTATTGTATTGTATTGTATGTCATTTAATCTCTCTATACTCTTTGTTCTCTCTACCCCCCCCCCGCCTCTCCCTGTATCTCTCTGTCTCTCAACTCCCTTCCTTCTCCCTTCTCTCTCTCTCTGTCTCTTCCTTCTCTCTCTCTCTCTCTTCCTTCTCTTTCTCTCTCTTCCTCCTCTCTCTCTCATTCTCTCTTTCCTCTCTCTCTCTCTCTTTTTAATGGCACTTTTTTTCTCCCTGTCTCTGTGTCTCTCTGTCTTTCAACTCCTTTTCCCATCTTTCTCTCTATTTCTTTCCCATCTATTCCCCCCCCCCCCTCCTTTCTTGCTTACCATTGGCCTTCCTATCTCCCTCTCTCTACTCCCACTATCTCGTCTCTCTTCTCGCTCAAAATATAAAATTGAACTTCTTCAACACTCTATACTTCTTGTTATGTAGGAGTTGATATCATCAGGGCATCAAACTGTTACATCAACATCGGCGGTATTGATGTTAATCTACGCGGTGGATTTGTAAGGTGTGTAGACAAACCTAGATTTATGTGCGTCATATGACGTGTTTCTACGCGTTTCAAACCAAGGTTTGATAAACCTAGGTTAGTCGACAAACTTCATTCGGGAGTTCGGGCCATATAGTTTGGTATAAACAGGTGCGTATGAACCCTCAGCGTTGAAAATAGACCTAACCATTCTTCATTCTGTACCCGAAAACGTGTGGACGGAAATTGAGGGGAGATGGCGCTGTGTGTGGGATCGATGCGTGTGATGGAATAATAAAAACAAAGAACGGACTGAATCTGCACTAGGCGCTAAACCGCAACTGTTTACCAGGTTGTGAGATAAAAGAGCGCATATGAGGATTAAGAACTCCTACATCAAAAAATGGTATCTCATGAAATGTTCGCTGTCCCTTTCAACGATTTTTCATCAATTGTTGAATGTGTAATGAGTTAAAAAACAAATACAAACTTTTGTAGTTTCATACCTTGTTCCAACTGCAAAACTACAAAAAGCACGCGAAATCATGCATTAGCAAACTTAAGGGGGGTGAATCATGACAAGGCTACTTGTCTTTTCCGTGGCCTGACTCGGGGCCAATCGGATATTATACGACTACGGACGATGCGACCGCAGTATTCACGTGCGTGCAACACACGCGAAACCGAAGCGTGACAGGAGAACTTCGGTCTGTTTCGCGAACTCTAGCGCGCTGACCGTTAATCACATCCATTCGTTTAATGGTAGTTATCCAAAAGAAGTCGTAGATGGCGTTAACCAGTATTTGCCATGCTACACCCCCTTTAAAGTAGCTGCATGTGCAAAGATTTTAAAAACAATTTTTTTTTTCTTCTTATTGCAAGGTGAAACTTTGATTGGACAATTTTATAAAAATTCCATGCTTGGGAACATTCGACGTAATGATTAGTATCAACAAAAACGTTTGAGTACAGCCCCGGCATAGCACCTGAAGAGCTCTCCGAACACTGCTGAGATGCGTGACATCAGGGCATATCAACAATTTGTACCGCATATTGCTCCGGTTGTCTCATTTTCGCCAGCACAAACGTAGGCTAATTCGCGTATATAGCAGACGGCAATCGGCGGATCAGACGACACTTGATATTGATTTTGTATGTGAGATTGCTTTGCTAAATATAAAATACAAGAATCTTGTCCATATCTTTAAACTATCATTGATATCTGATAATTAAACAGTTAGTCAAATAAACCTACCAAACTACATAATACAATGAAATACTTGACTGAAAGTATGGGAGTTTGATGTGATGCACAATTGCACCCCTCTGTTAATAATCGAATAGTCCATGGTGGTCACGAATATTCATGTTTTTGCTTACCTCGGCAAAATGCTTGCCTATACTAAATGGAAAAAATTACGGTGGGGGTTGGATGAAATGGACATAATGAACAAATCAGAATTGATCTATGAAAATTCATACTTCTTATCTTTGGCTTAAAACCTTACAATCGCGTGATAAATTGAGTCCAAAGTTCGACTTGTTGTACATGTGTTATATAGGCAATGGTGAGCTAGCGACCTATTTTGATAAAATTACGGTGGGTGAACTTTCAAAAGTCAATGGGACATGAGGGTTCCAATGAAAGAGCTAGTGATAACGTACGTCGGGGTGGATGTGCTTTTCGTTCAAACAAAAAATGAATTGTTAACGATTTTGGGGGGTAAAAGAGCAGCACAAATTGTCGACGTCAAAAAAATGATGTACCGTTGTCGACAATAATATTTGAACCGTCAGGTTTTGCAAAAATTTATCGGCACCAAATTGTTGACGTCGACATATCCCAAACAGAATATAAAACGCCTCAGAACAACGCGGGCATTTTCTCCGAGGGAAGAATTCATCTATTTGATTGGTTGATGCAGAAATCGTAAAACTCTCCCTTGCTCACTTTAGAGATGTTGTCGTCCAGTTGATTAGTCTCCTGACTGTAAAACCCCACGAACGGGGTTCCAATTCCTGTGGAGGAACATTAAGCAGCCTTAGTCACACTCCATCTAGGTAAATGGGTACTAACCGGTAATTAATTCCTTCAAATGCTCGAGCGCCGTAAAAGCAGCCGTTCTAAAGCCAGGCGTGGCAATGTGCCAAAAATGAGCGCTTTACTAGACTCCACTAAGAATGTTTCTATTAGTATTATTATTATAACAATAACAAGAATTACAATGATAATAATTATTATGATAAGGATAATAATAATAACAATTATGAAAAAATAATAATAATAATATATGATAATGATAATAATAATAATAATAATAATAATAATAATAATAATAATAATAATAATAATAATAATCTCTCTCACTCTCTAAACTGTTTGATATCAACCGAGTCCCATCATGATAAATATCAATGTCTTCTTGTCATGTGAATGTTTCCTTCTAACAGGTGATTGCGCTTTATAAGCAAACAATATTATGTATATTTTGTTTGTATTAAGCGATTTAATTTTTCATAACGTAACATCTTTTAACAAACTCTTACTTTTCTTTTTCATTAACGTATTTGCAACCTTTTTATACAAATCGTATAAATAATTAATTATTAACAAACGCATACTTTTGTGTGCACACACTAGTAATACATGTACATAGTAATACAGTCAATATACAGTATATACAATATTATGTATATTGGTGTAATCATTTTAACTAACGTTTACTATATTAATTTGTTTTTTAAACATCAATTTACCAGCTCGATATACTACAGGCTTAAAAGCATAATAGAAGGCTACATCAAAGATGCACTGAATGAACAGGTATGAATGTCTTCATATATAAAAATCCATAAAGTGAAAAGGTGGATGGGGGCCGGAAGTCCATGAAATGATAGGAAGCGGAAGGATAGAGAGGAGAAGAAAATTCTAAAATTTAAGGATTTAATAAATCAACGAGACAAAAAGGTTCTCCAATGTGACATTTCGTGATTAACCATTTAAAACCAAGTCAAATCGTATAGTATAGTCTGCAACTGAAAGCTATTGAGTTGCAGCAGTACGCTCTGTCTCTTTTTAACGTTTACCAATATACCCTTGACTTACTTAAAATTCAGAAACAGCAATAACTTTCTTATTTTTACTTTTGAATAATGTTTTGTGATTGCCGCCATACATTCTTACAAAATAATGGGAAGATCGACCCACAGCAAAACTGTTGTTCGCCGATTTGTTTTAGATCTCTGCAATCCATTCTGCATGTGCCAGGGTATAGCCATACCATTTTTTATACTGCTCTTCCTGCGGGCCTTGCGATTTTTATTACTCCGTCGTTGGTCGAGAGGGAATATTTGGGTAAAATACCTTGCCCGAAGATGTCAGCAGTAGAAGTGATAAGGAGTGAACCTTTAGTACTTTTTCAATTTCATACTTTTTTCATTCAATTTCGTCCCACAACTTCCTTATCTCTTGGACATCTCATAGTATATTCCGTCGTTGGTGATTCATTTTGTTTTAATTTGTCGAATCAATTTCATAATTTCGCATCCAATTTAGTCAAAGCCAATTCAAGCTCGTCACCCTCGGATGGCATGATCACATTTGTGTTTTATATTACATTTATTTCAGTTCTACTTCCTATGTTTAATAAATGTTTTCAAAACAATATGACTGCTGTCGATTACAATTAATCTAGCATTATCTCCCAAAAGCAATCTTAGCAATGATTTTTGCTGAATTTTCGTAACAATTATTGCTGCTCTGTAATACAACCAGAATAGGCGCTGTTGTTTTCCCCTGTCTTCAATCAATCATGGCCTGGAAGATGATGGCACTGCTGTACGGTCTTTTTGGTGTAGATAGCGCATATTATATTTGCGCCATATCATGCCAGTAATTCACAAGGATTACTCCGATTTCACATTCCAATGCCGTAGACAAAAAGGCGTCATAATTTTAGAAATTTTATTAAAAATTAGGTTAACTGTTCTAGCTGAGTATTATGTTAAAAAATATCCAGAAAGAGGGTACTCCAATAATTCCATTTATAGGCAATTTCAAAGGAGAGGTCTTTTTTCGATCAGCTTTGTTGGTTGTTATATTTCAACTCGTAGGGACAAAATCTTTTATAAAATCAGAGCTATTGATGATTTTATTCCAAAATTCCTCCAGATAACAACGTTTTTGTATGGAGTATGGTTTTCAATTTCAGAAAATTGATATTGATGGTAACTAACACAAATTTATAGACTTTGAACGAAAAAGTGCATTTTGTTCAATCTTGTTATAAAGATAGTCATGTTTTCTTTGATTTTCTTTTAATTAATAAATTAGTGTCGAGGTTGGTTACTAATCAAACTTTAAAGAAAATATAAGACATCTGTTCATTTCCCATTTCAAAAGTACTGGTTTATTTGCTCTAAATTTTTTAAGAGAGTTTATATTATTCCTAGTATAAGATTATGCTTTTAGATTTATTTATTTATTTTATTTTTATTTTTATTTATTTATTTATTTTATTTATTTTATTTTATTTTTTTTTTTTGGGGGGGGGGGGGGTAGGATGTTCAAATGAGGGCTACTACCTTCAAAATGAGCAAATCGTGTCTATAACTAGTATCACTGCAAACCTTTAAAGGCATATAGTCCTGCTGAATATATTTCAAAGCAACGACAACAAAGAAAACAAAATCCATTGCAAATCACTGTTTACAAGTCCTACCTACTGAATAGAATTAGCCTAAATAGGCTCCGAGACTATAGGGGTCAGGGCCGGTATTCAACTCAATCATTAAAGTTGAAACACATTGAAAATAGAATGTCGAACGAAATGTGTACGTGACATGATTTACAACTAAGTTAGCTTCTTGACATTCGCTGGTAAAAGGACCCCAAATCCCCCTTCCCATTTCGTGAAGAATAGGACGAAAAACTGCGTCAAATTTTCGGACGTCGCTACAGGTAGCTGCACCGTAAAGTGCTCAGATTCCCGGATTCCCGGATTGTATACAAATATAATATATGGTAAAATATTGAACAAAACATTTTTTGTTCAAAATCTATAAATTTGTATTAGTTACCATTAATATCAATTAAACTATTTATATTAGAATCAATAATTATGAATATACAATATTCAGAAAATAGTATCCATTCTTCTAAGTTTATAAAAGATTTGCGTGAAATGTCATGCACGCTATACCATACCAGGGAGGTGAAAGAAAGGGGTGGAATCAAGCCGCTTTCCTTTGACCCCATGCTCCAAGCCGCCGAAAAGTTATGCGCTAATCTGCAACTGTTGGGATAACAAGGCGCGTGAAATTTCAAGATTTAGAATTAGAAAATGGTATCCCAGCAACTGTTGGCTGTCCCTTTCAATGATATTTCATCAAGTGTTGAATGTGTAATGGGTAGAACAAGCGAAGACAAACTTGTGTAATTTCATCCTTTTTTCCAACTGCAAAAATTACACACACAAAAAAATACGCGAAAACACGCATTAGCAATCTTAAAGATATCGAAGATTGTAAATCATGGATTAAATAACGGGACATTAAAACATGCACAAATAAGCGCACTATCCTAAAATATTGAGTTTTTGTCAGGATCTGATCATTCTTTTACCAACTCTGGCACACAAATTAGGGCGGAGTTCTAAATTTGAAAAATTGTTTGATGCACTATTCCAAATACGATCCCCATATAAAATTTATAATTTACACTGAAATTTCGCCGGTAATTCAGTATTTTGTAATAAATGTGAAACTGGTGCCTGACCTCCGAAATTCCCCGTAGTGGAAGCGCGGCTCGGAGCATGGAACTTCAAAGCCAAGTGGAATGTTACACATCCCATTGTTACGCTTTATATAAACTCAAGAATAAATTCTTTCACCTCCCTAATGATACAAATCATATAAACTGGCCAAAGGCATGAGGAAATCAAGTTTGGGGGATAACAAGGGAAGTTAATGGGATTCAACTTTATAAAGCAATTGATAAATAGTGAGGAAATGACGTCACAAAATGATGACCATATTGGCAATTTGTGTTGTGATTCTCATTGTTCCATAGATTTAGATACTTTCCAAAAAAATTAAGTTTCTTATTATTTATCCGATTATGCTCAAACTTTTCTTTGATTGGTTTGTCTGATTTTTTTCTGCTTCTATTAAAAGTAAGTTATTTTTGGAGTGGACTTGCCCTTTAAGTATCATATTTTGTCTTACATAATTATGTAAAAGTCTAAAATGCGATTTGAATATAAGATAAGTAAAGTTCTTAGCTTAGTAAATTTGTTTACTTATTCTAAGTACCGGTCCTGCAGGTCGTCGTCGTTTATTTGGGATGGCGTAGAAACTGGTATCAATGGTTTTCTTATTCGAATATTATTTGGTTGCTTACTCAGATCTGTGGTGAAGTTATCTATGAGGTCAATCGCAAACTGAAAAACTTGCAAGGTAAGATTTTATAATATAGGTCCAGAAAACCACGCTCGGACCTTCATCCCCAGACCATGACTCTCTATCACAAATCATTATTAATGCTTTTTAAAAAAAATGTTTTCATTCATTTATTAATTCATACATTCTAAGTTGTATTATTCAAACAAAAAACAACCATGTGTCGCAGCATAATGTTACATAATGGGATAAGGTCCGAGGTGAGGAGTAAATGTCTAGGGATGTTGTGGGGTAGCATTTATCCTAAAATTAAACTGTTGTATTAAATACGAAATAAATTGTCTACATAGATTTGTGTAACCCTCAGCACAATGAACGATATATACTGAAATGTTCAACTAATTATCTGATGATGATATAGTTGAAATGATTTTGTATCACTAATCGTTGTACTATTCATTTACAAAATAACAACAACTTTGATTTAATCCCACGGCACGGTGCATTTTACCGAAATTCTAATTGTTTAACCTGCTCACTCTTAATCTATATTGCAGTGATTGCCCAGGTCCCGGCCCCGGTAGATGTCATCGAATTTGACTATTCCTTGGTGGAGAGTCCTTCCTTCAATGGCTACGTCAGTACTGCTCATAAGGTAATGCAGGCGCGTACGCAGGATTTTTTCAAGGGGGGGGGGGGGGGGGGGGGGGTGGGTAAGAGGACACTTTTTTTTGTTTTGGTCTCGAAATTTGAAAATTTGACATTTTGCTCCGTTGGGGGGGGGGGGGGGGTAAGGTCACCTTTTTTAGGTCAGCCATGGAATATATTTTTTTTATTTTTATTTTTTTTAATTATTAAAAACAAAAAACAAAAAAAACACCCCCCCCCCCCCCTGCGTACGCGTCTGAGGTAATGTGCTCATTCACATGCCCGATAATTGACTCAAAGTGTCAGTTGCCTGATGTATGACTGCGTCATTGACTTGTACGGCCGTTGGTGTAAGCGCTAGATAAGAATACTATCGTACTTATAAATGCTCAAGCTTGGGTATATAGTGGGCAGCACACGGACATTACCATAATCTCCCGAAGGAAACTCAGTGTACATCGGAGCGGTTCGGCGTACCGCGCGTAATACCGTAATAATCGTACATAATACAGTCATAGGAAGTATATGCATGAACATATTGGAAGTGTAGGTATAGTACATACAAAATGAATTCATGGACGCGTAGGTTGCGTGCTCGCTAAACATGATTTACCAACGCTCGGACATTGACCATTATACATAATATAATCTTCTAATTCCCATCAAATATCAAATAAAAATTGCAAGATTTAATTGATGATAAATATATTTTACAGAACTATAACGTATTTTATTAATCACATATTAATAAATTAAATATTTAAAAACTAAATTACAAACAGCCAATCGAAACTCGAGATAAATCGGGCGCGGCACGACTAGAGTCGGTCGTTCGTGAAGTAGGCAAGTCGGCGATCACTACATAACACTGAGCCAACGGGTATTACGCTCCCGTGCGTAAAAAGTTCGCGAGATGGCATAGGTATCGCCAGGCGCGCGCCGGAAGCAGTTTGAGATTGGGGGGCAAACATTCAAGGGGGTCACCTTCCAGGGGCAGTGACGTAATGAGCAAAAGCGTTAGGAAGTGTGGGGGAGGGGCAGAAGAAAAATCTGCATCACCACCACTCTTACACGTTACAAGCAGGCCCCGCGGAACGTTTTCCAAAGTGGCGTATTAACGCTCAGGTAGAGCGTAAATTGGCGTAGGGTCCAGGGCCTGAGCATCAGCAGGGGGTCAAGGGGCTGAGCCCCCGAAAGCTCAGGGTTTTTAGGCATTAAATTACGGTCAGATAAGCATATTTAGATACCTTATTTGTGACACTGGCAGGTCACTAATTGGCGGAGAGTCCAGGGAGCAGAGCCCCCGGAAGCTCAGGGATTTTAGGTATTTAATAACGATTAGATGAGCATCCAGCTGCCCTCTTTAAGGCCATTGATGTGGTCCAGGGGCAGGGCCCCGGAAGCTCAGGGGTTTTAGATATTTAAGTACGGTCAGATGAACATCCAGGGGCCGCCTTAGGGCCCTTGGTTGGGTCCAGGGGGCAGAGCCCCCGGAAGCTCTGGGGTTTTAGTTATTTAATTACGGTCAGATGAGCATCCAGGGGACCGCCTTAGAGCGCTTGGTGGGGTCCGGGGGCGGAGCCTCCGTAAGCTTTGGGGTTTGAGGCATTAATTACGGTCACTTTTGGCAGGTCACTTTATTGTTTCTCTCTCTCTCTCTCTTTCTTTTTCTCTGTAACATACTTTTTCAAAAAGTGAGGGGGCTCGAGCTCCCGAGCCCAGCCTTTTTGCAGACCATGACATAAAGGCTTCTAAATAAGCATATTTTTCATCCGACTGTAAATTTGGGAAATCCTAATTTTTCAACAAACGCATAAAAAGTTATGACGTACAAAAAAATGAGAAAAAAAATACCGGAAAATCATGCCATTTCAGCAACATTTGTAAATAACTGGTATCGAATAAGAAATCCCCCATCAGTACGCCAGCGTTCAGGGGTTCATGTCTTCTCACCCCTATAACGAAAAACAGACACGCTTTCCCATTCTCTCACTATATGGCCACGATATGCGCGTAGCGTTATGATATAAACCTCTATTGATAAATATAGGTGGCATGCGCAATGTGTAGGGAATTTAGTTCCTGTTAACTTTCCTTTTCTTTGAATGGAATTTTATATGTGATTTAATTCATTTTTTTTTATTGTTATGTTCTTTTGGGTTAAAAATACAAACCATCTCTACTCCTTTGCTGTTTTTTTTTTTTTTTCAATCTCTATATATATATTTATCACTTTTGTATTCCGATTTTTTACTGCATTTGTTGTCCATTTATGTATTTTTATTGCTTGTAAAAAAAAATCCCATGTAACATTTCCATTTATCTAGCATGGATGAATAACAGTGAATTGAATTAGATTGAATTGTATTGAATTGAAATTAATTAAATTGAACTTAAATGAATTGAATTGAAATTATTGAAATAAATTGAATTGAAATGATTTGCATTGAACTGAAATGACTTGAATTGATTTGATTTATTAGTTCGCGCTCGCTATAGGGAACAAAACCACCTGTACCAAGGGCGGTAGTCAAAGAAATAGGAATGGAATTGTAGTTCGCTTTTAGATTTGGTTTAAAGTAGATATTCATTGATTTTAAAAACTAATTTTATTTTCATTATTGCAAAGTTGAAACTTTGATTCGACAAGGTTATCAAAATTTAATGCTTGGAAACATTCGAAGTAATGATTATTATGAATTACAAAACGCTTAAATACAGCCCCGGCATAGCACCTGAAGAGCTCTCCGAACGCTGCTGAGATGTGTGAGATCACAGTATGGACATGATTTGCACAAGCAGACGATGTCCCATGACATCTCACATATTTTCAGTGCCTGTGTTTTTATCTTCTCATGAGATCTTTCTCTTACTTCACTACCGTCAGGCTAAATGTATAATCTATTGCCTCACTCTAAACCCCGCGCATGTTTTTATTTTGATGACAAATGCAGCGATACAAAATAAATGAATCTGTCGCTTGTAAACAAAATAAGACCCCATTGTATATTGAGCTGCACACACCGCGGTATGTTCGGCGTTTCAAGGGGGAACAAATGTCGTCCTTAATATCATTCCGGGGGGGGGGTTCAATTTTAAAGTCTGGTTTCTTTGATTGTTAATCAACCTTTAGGCCTATTCATTCTGTATGGGATGTCGTCTGCTTGGGCAGTATTGGTCCATATAGTGACGTCGTTAAAACATCGTTATTTTTTTCCGGCGAATCTCTCGTATATCCTAGCTGCTATGGAGGTGGTTTTATTTGTATTTTATAAATCGCCCGATATGTAGTTGACCTAAAACTTGTACGATGGCCATCTGTTAGCTTACCAGTTTCTAGTGATACATTAGTTGACATATTTGTGTTTTTCTATGAATTTCACCTTTGAGGTTAAGGTTTGGTTCAACATAGAAAGCAGGCTTGAAGTTGCTAATTTGATTAGTGATTGAAATTTACCGTGGAACATTTTTGCCGGTGTTGCGGCGAAGACGTGTCTTCATAGAACTGCTATTCTGTGACAGATTGCACCCGATCATTCTGCTGTCTCCCGCAATGTGTTCACATGTATAGCCGTTAATAAATTCTGTTGGTCGTCAAATTTTTAAGATATTTCTGATTCATTCCAATATATTATTATTCAAAATGATTAAAATCCACTAGTTTAATCTTGTTCCTCATTAGTTTGCTCTTTTTGTTTCCAGGGTGGGGTGTACCCGATAGGAAGCAAGACGGAATGTCCACTACCGGTTTCGCAAATTCCACCCGACTCGGATACTTCCCGTATGGTGTTCATCTGGATAACCGAATATCTGCCCAACTCAGCCGGTTACGTGCTTCAGAATATCGTTTCCTACAGTACAACGTGACCCCTGACAATGTGAGTGATTGCTACACACGACTAATCATGAATTGTTTATTTTGACCATTAACCTCATCATATCAAAATGTCATGTACATTTGTTGGTATTTATTTGGGATATTTCCATTTTTCTAATCGCGCATATAGTTACCATCCTTTTCCCCTCTCTCTCTCTTTCTATCTCTCCCACCTTCCTCCCCCTCTCTCTCACTCAGGCGCTGATCCAAGATTTCTTAGGGGGGGGGAGGCCCAACTTTGAAATCAATTTGAAATTTAGTATGCTGAAATTTGAAAATCGTGCGGCCGACATTCCGCTCAGAGGAGGGGGGTGGGGTTGTGAGCATTAATTTTGTTTTCTCTCTTTTGCTCCCGGAAATTTGAAAATCGCACCGGCCTATATTTCGCTCAACCCCCCCCCCCCCCCTCTACCTCTTGAGCAAAAAAAAGAGGTAAACTTCTAGTCACAATTTCATTGTTTAACTTTTTTTGGGGGGCCGTCTTATTTTGGGGGGAGGGTCCGGGGGCCAAGGTTCACTCGCCCCTCCCCCCTCCTGGATCCGCGTCTGCTCTCACTCTTTCTCTCTATCTCCCTCTTTCTTTCACTCTTTTATCTCCCCCTCTCCTTATCTCTTTCTAACATACACATTTTGTCCATTCTTCTTTATCTTACAGCCCTCACTTCCTCTTCTTGTATTGCACTTTTATCCGCACCAATCTTCTGAATCCATGTGAACAGAAGGTATACTATTGAAAGTATCTAGTCGAATATATCAGTGATCCATAAGTGATTAAGGCCTTGATTTAGGCTGATATTCATTGTTCTTAAAAAAATGTAATACCTTTGTTTCCTTTTATACATTCAGGTCCCTGCTGAAGCAAAGGACCTCTTGAACACATCCCATGTTGCTTTCGACCTTATCATGCCACAGGTATGGCAATATAGGCAAGGGTGTAGCTATGTGGTATGACCTTTTAATCTGATTATTTGGGTGCATCTTCATTTAAAAATGTTGTGATATTCTTTCCTCTCTAAATCATAATCATGAAGAGCTTGAACTTGGATAGCAGCCGGAGAAAATTTGGACATTAATCAATGGGCGAGATGGGGTAGGATCACGAGACGGAGGGGGGGGGTGGGGTAGGAGTGAGAAGGATAAAAGTGAGAAAAGGAGGAAGGTACAGAGGCCATACTGAGTGAGGGTGCTAGCAACGGAGAGTGGGGGTTCAAAAGAAGAAGAGGGCTGAAGAACAAGAAGAAGAAGAAAAAACAAGAAATAAAAAGAAGAAGGAAGAAGACGACGAAGAAGAGGTGGGGGGGGGGGGGGAGAGAGAGAGAGAGAGAGAGAGAGGGTGAACGAAAATGGCCTACTGCTAACTCTTCTATAACAACTGTTGTTGAGTTCATGATGTACAGGACAGATACTACCAAACTTTGAAAGATATATCATCGCTGTCGTATCATCGTGTATTGTTTTTGTGTTTTTTCTAGATCAACAAGATGTACCCGAACATGGCAATGCAGATCAATATTAAAAGCACCAAGGCTCCCGTTATCAAAATAGCATCTACCGGGGTACAGGCCGACTTGGTCGGGGACCTTACCACCTACGCAATCTTACCCAACAAGACCTTGGCCTACCTGTTCACTCTCAGCATGGTAATTTCTTTCTCTCATAAGTTTCCGATATATTATTCTTCTAAACATCATCGCTGCACACGCCCTAGAATATATACCGCAGTATAAGTCCAAGTTAAAAAATATAGTGTATTCCACCCTCAAAACAGAAATTCAACCACTATTTTTGGAAAGGGACCCACAATGGTTTAAAGTGAATTAAACTGTCTCCTAGAGACCGGGAAGATTAGATTTCCATTATCCTGCGTTAAGAGAAAAAGTATATTGCCTTACAAATGAAAATTAAAACACTAATTTGACTGGTGACAGATTTATATATTACATTGAATGTCAAAGTCGATTAATTGACGTTTTGGCCAGAGATGGAAAGGATATTGCTCGTAGGAGGCGGAACAGGGGAAGGGGTAATTAAGTAGAGGCGCGAGGCGCGGCACCCATCCCACTTTTCAATCTCGAAATTTTTGGCACTGTGTGGTGATAGTAAGCAAATAGTTACCGTTGGTGAAGGTGATGGGACAAACTATCACTTCCGACTGTTCCGAGGCGATCTGGATGAAGCTATCTTTCCGAAGCGAAGCTGAGGAAAGATAGCGTATACATTTAGATCGCTGAGGAAGTGATAGTTTGCCATCGCCTGGAACCGAAAGGTGATTATTTGCTTTATATTCCACATCAGAAATATTTCACTGGTAGGGTCTACGAGAAACACGATCTAAATGTTTTTAGTTTTAGGCCTAGATTCTAGTTCTTACACTACAGTTTGTAGACTTCTACTAGATCTATAATACTAGTTCTAGGTCTAGATTCTTACTGTTGCATTTAATTTCTGTACGATGGCATTATGGGGGGGGGGGCAGGTTCAAGGGCATTAATCATGGGATGGACAGGGAGACATGTCCCCCCCCCCCCTCCAAAAAAAACAACAACAATAATAAAAAAACAACAACAAATGTTCAAGGGTGGGGGACATAATATCACATCCCCCCCATGTTTTTGACCTCCTTTATCATAAAGTCGAGTATTGCACTGTGTAAGACCAAACCCTGTATCCCGTTGCCCGTGGCTCACACCTTCATCATGTTTTGTAAAATGCAAGGGGAAGTCTTATTACTTTTGAATGTTAAATAAAGCGTATCAAAATGTTAAACTCCACCTGCAGGACCAGGCGGTATGAGAAGCTAAAATTGTAATTTGTGTAATTGGGTAGTATTTACTTTTTGTTCTCATTTTACTGAAAATCAATCATATTTAAGTAGTATATTTGTATATTCAGTCGTAATATAAACTGCTTCCTGAGAAGGGAATTTTCTGTCTTCTCTGTTTGAGAATAATTCGCGTAGCTCGTCTCTGAATCTTTTCAAGTCTTTTAACATGTCCTCTACTGTGAATAAACCAGGCTGGTTGGCCATATTTAATAATAGGGAGAACGAGGCTTTTGTACAAATACAGCAGAGAGTCACAGCAGAGAGTCACGTAATAGACATCTTGGTGGAACCCTTTGTTGTTTGAAGGCTACCAATCCTTTGTGAACATGGGAAGAAAACACATAGCAAGAAAATAAAAGTAATAAAAAGCAAACCACACGTGTTTTTTTATTGTCGCTCACAAAAGTGGGTACACATATTTGTTCGTGACCACATTTCACTAAAACATTCGTCTCGACATTGTACTTTGATAACAAAAAAGAAAATAGGGGGGGGGGGTGTTAAAAAGAGCACATTTTATGGGGGGGGCCCGAAAATTTGTAAAATTTGCCGATCGATATTTCGTTCCGTTCGGGGGGTGGGGGGGTAAAGGGAACCTTTTTTGGATCACCCATTTGCACAATTTTTTTATTTAAAAAAAATTGATGTTTTTTTTTCTTCTCCAAAACACACACACACACACAAAATTGAGGGGGAGGGTTCGACCCCCCCCCCCCCCTGCGTACGCGCCAGAACAGTGTAACGAACTTTAATTTCTTCTCCCATCAATGATGGGCGAAACTGTTTTCCACCACGTGATTAAATTTTGACCAATCGTTAATTTTCTTTAATCAGAATATCGAATATGATTTTGAATAATATTTTGTATGAATAGGCCTATTACTTGAATAAGTTTGAATTGATTAATCAAGGAGAAATTGCACCATTCAGCGAAGAACATCGAATTTTCTTTCCTGTGTTATTCTCCCCTATGTTTTCTGCAGAGCATATCTGCCAAGGTGTCTATGAACTTCACCGGGAACAAAATAACATGGAACATAGCGTCATGCAGGTAACCGGGTCATCCCAGTGGACAAAAAGCCCATTAGACCGACAAAAAAAAAATATGAAGATGTAGAAGAAAAAATCCAAGAGGTCGCACTCGAGACCGACAGCACACAAAAGGGGAGTAACAAAAACAATATCAGTTTAGTGAGCTGTCTGTCTAATGTATTCCTTAATTTGTTGTAAATGATTATAATTGATTTGTTATGGGGTGTTGAAACAGAAATAAAATTAAAGTTGACCTACTAAAAAGTTTCAAAAGGCCTACGAGACCAAAATGTCAGTCTAATACATACACACACGTCTGATAATGTAAGAAAATTTATTTAAATATATTACATATAAGTTATGTAAATATTATTTCCCCCTCCCCCTACTTCTCTCTGGTTATAGATTTTACCCAAAGGCACGCGCTTAACCAGATAACAACTTAGAAATATTTATATTTATTTTTGCAGCGCTACTTTGGAAGCAGTTCGCTCAGCAAAGCAGCCAATTTTTGTAAGTAAAATATTATGATAATTCGTCTTCATTTTGTGTTATATACTTTTCATTTAAACTTTTGCGGGTTTTCACTTTGAGATGATAATGGACGTGAACATGAAAATAGAAACTACAAATATGATATTCAACAAACATTCTCAAAATCCTGCCTCTGAACTACAGGGAAGTTAATGATATAGACTTGGGGGCGCTCATGACTCATGTGAGGGTAAGTACAATTTCAAATGGCAAATCCTTAAAAAAAAGACTTTTCTCTCTTTTGAATAATTCGTATCAATTGCCTTTCAGACATCTAGCCTTCAGGTTGAATTAGGCAACACATTCTATCTTAACCGTGAGTAGCACTTTTCAAATGTTGATGGTGATCTTAACTTGACGCGGTCTCTTCTCGAGGTGAAAGATAAAAGATAATAAACTATTTAAATTTAAGACGCATTTTATGGTACGTACATTATACATAATAAAACTGACACATAGATATTGTTCATGGAATATTTGTGTGCACTGCCCATATTATTAGGAGGGGATTAAACTTTCAAATACTGAGATAAATGATGCAATTTTTAAAACTTATAATTGCCTATGCACACTGTTGAATGGGCTCTATCAACGATGTTAGAGCGATGGGAACGGGTTCAGTATTGGTGCCCTACTTAATGGAACGTGATCTCAAAGATTTATTATATAGACCCCATCGGATATCCTACAAAAATTGTGTTCAGATGACGTCATTGAAATGTTTGCACATGTCGAATAGCGGTTGAAATGCCAGAAGATTTACATTTTTACTGATGTTGATTTCTCGATATTTGTTGTGATTGTTTCATGGTGCGTTGATTTATGAAATATCTAATTTCTCTTAACAGAAGTAATACAAATCAACACAAAACAAATACAAATGATATCAGTCAAACTTAATTTGTAAATTTCTTTTTCACCCAAAACAGTATGCAAAAGACCAATATTTAAAATGTATACTTGGTCTTTTTGTACAATATTTGTAAAATCAGACATTGTACATAAAATAACGACACTCTCTAAATGAAATATAGTACTACCCCTGAAGGAAGAGAATTAAATGTAATGCAAAGTTTTGGGAAATTTTGAAAATTGGATGAATAGTAATTCATTTGCATTTTGATATATTTGGTTGCCCCTGTGAGTGTTTTATACGCACTAGATAATTTATCCCCTAAAACACAGAAATTGAATAATCAAAAATTTACCGGTGCTCAAATTTCAAATGTTTCAAATAGCGCCTTAAGCCATTACACGGTAGCTGCGACCATGAAAATCTCAGAATATGCAGTTCAGATATATTATTTCTAAACGTGAACAGCAAATCGCTGAGAGGGAGCTATACATCATAAAGATTTTATTATTTACAATTTCATCACTTTAGACTCGATTTCAACCGCGACAACGATCATTGAATATTGTAAAAATTTCATATGCTTCAAATATATTCATTTGAACCAAATTCATGACCCCATACCAAAACTTGTATTACCTTTTAATAAAGGCCCGGTCACACAGGGAGGACGCATGGGGAACGCACGGCCAGCGCATTGGAAATTTGCAATTTGGGCCAGTGCGTTGTCGTTCGCTAGGCGTGCGTCATCATTCGTTACTCGTTCGTCGAGCGCGCTGGACCAACGCTGGACCAGCGCTATGCATGCGTCGTCATTCGCTGTGTGCGTCGGGATTTTTGAGCATGCTCAAAAACGTGCGCCGAGCTCGACGCATGAATATACACGCCAAAGGCACGCCAGACATGCGCCGGAGCGCGCTAAACCAGCGCCAGACATGCGTGGAGCGCGCTAGACCAGCGCCAGACAAACGCGGAGCACACGCCCTGTATACGCACAGCGCGCTAGCTACACGCCGTGCATTTTGTGTCAGCTCGCTAGCTTTTCCAAAATTATGACAAAAGTTAGGCACACGTTCTTTTCCGATTTCCAATGCGCTGGCCGTGCGTCGTCGTAGAACGCGGTGCATGCGTGGACCATTCGTCCAGCGCGCTAGCAACACGCTGTGCATTCGTGGAAGTTGTTTTCATGTGCGCTCTGTGTGCGCCCTGTGTGCCCTGTGTGCGCCCTGTATACGCCCTGTATGCGTCCAGCGCGCTATGCATTTGGTGTCAGCTAGCTGTATAGCTTTGACAAAAGTTGGGCGCACGACAACGCACTGGCCAAAATTGCAAATTTTCCATGCGCCGGCCGTGCGTCCCCCATGCGTCCCCTCTGTGTGACCGGGCCTTAACCAAAAGTAAAAAGTAATAAATATTCATTTCGATTTCATTCATCACCTTCATCCTATAGAGCTCGGTGCTGTGGGAATTCCCATTCATCAGCTTATCAATTGCCTGATGGATTTGTGTTCACCAACCCTGTCATCTACCTAGGAGAGGTAAGGAATAACCATCCATCGAGCACGATTATCATAGATAGGGCAGTGACGTATCCACAGACAGGAGCGTATCCAGTAAAGTTTAAAGCTGGCGTACCCACACCCATTCACGTTTGAACCCCCCCCCCCCCCACCCCCACCCCAAACAAGTGATGCAAAATTGACCGAGTGCCTTCTCAATTTACAGGAGTGGAATTTCACTCTTTTAGGATTCATGTTTGAAATATGTAACTTATAGGGTATTTTTTAATTACATATTTATATGAGCTATCACTTTATTTTGGATTAGAATGCACGGATTATCAATAAAATTTGGAGTGGGTTCAACTCCACAACGAAATGATTCCTAACATGACTCCTAAAAAGCGGATTCTCGCTCCGCTACATTGGGAGTGTACGCCATCCACCCACCAGACTTACTTGGCAGAGGAAGGATGTCATATCATCTTTCCTTGTTATTTTCATATATTTATTAGTATTATATTAGTATTACTTTATTATCTTTTTTTTGGGGGGATGCCTTTTTACAATACAAAACTCTCTGCTAGTCGGTACCTTTAAAATCATGACAGACTAACTCTAATAATTGCAACAAATAATATTTTTTTATTTGCTAAAGCCACTTCAAAGACCACGTAGCCCATAAATTCCTCATAAATAAATTGCACTGGCTAGTTGTCAGGTGAAGTATCGAAATCATATTGATAAAATAAAGGAATCAAATTCCTCTGACTTAATTTATTTACAAGCTGATATAGAGCTTTGAATTGTATTTAAATCTTATTCAGCTACACAATGCAACTAACATTTTTTTAAACATTGTTATAGATCTTCATTTTAGGCGGAATTCACTCAGTGACACGATCATTTTACTCAACATGCGTAAGGGTCACAGATGATATTTTCAATGTTTTAGTTTGTGCAAACGTTTCAGAATCTTTGATTTGATTTTGTTTTTTTTTCACAGGGATTTTTGAAGATCGGGATGGACATGACCTATACACCATAACGTTCCACTATCCATACCAGTACCATCTAAAAGTCGTACATGTATAGCGTACCTATGGCTTCTGGTAGCAGGCGGGTTAAACAAGACAAACAATAGTCGATCGATAGTCACATTTTAATTTACAGATTGTTGCACTAACAAATAATAGAATCTGCAATCATCAAAATCATCACACAGTTAACTATTTTCTAAGTACTAGTAGTTCATGCAAAGTCGACGTCGAAGATTTATTCTCAGCCGAAGGCCAGCTAGTCAAACCTTATTATGTCTTTTAAATTTGAATTTTTAAAGTACTTTTCTCATTTTTCTCTGTGATTATACAACCGAATACATGTACATGTATTTAAACAACTTCACAATTTCTTGCTTTTCTTATAGTAGAGTCATTTTGGGCCAACTTTACTCATTTTATCAGAAATCTTTTTTTTAAATCATGTATGATCATGCCATTTTATCTTGTAGGCCCTAGATAACCTGTTATGATATTATTGGCATCGTATAACAAAAATAAGGCAAAGAAGATCTAAACATTGATTTTGATACAACAAGCATGATGCATTATATTTGTGTATCGTTATGTTTATAATGACACACATATTGACTTAGAACAGTTTGTTTTGTTCACTGTTTGGTGTTTGGGCTATTAAAAGGTTCGTCTGGTATTAAATAACCAAATACATGTACATGCATTATAACAATTTCATAATTTCTTACTTTACTTAGGTAACAGGTCAAAAATTGTACTATTTTATGGTGAAAAGACCAAATCAATATTTATCTATTTGTATCAATAAATAATCAATATCTCCAAAGGAAATGAACAGGAATAAACAAAGAAGTTTATATATTTACTAACTTTGTACTTCAAAGAAATATGATTCACACATATTCTGAGTAAGAGCTATGACACACCTCCCAATATAGAGTCATTAGAGTGTAACCGTTATAAAAGGGGTTGAGGTATTAGCCAGATTCACTCTTGCACTGCACCCCCATTCAAGGGGCAGGCAGAGAGTTCGTCTCCTCAGGCTTGGATTTACATTAGGTAAGCAGATTATGCTTCTGTCAAGTTTGATGATTAGTGAGATAATTAGTATTTTTGTAGATGTATTCTGATGTTAGTTTATAACTTTGGTATCAATCTGAATGATGGGTTGTGTTGAATTAATATACATTCTGTAAGGCATGGCATATTATATGTTTGGTAATCAGTAGGTCGACTACTTTAGTTAGATAAACACTTGATTTTGATTTGGTAATAGTAGTTTGAGATGATTTTGAATGTTAATATGTTATCTGTTATGTTACTTGTAATATTTAGGAGTTATAGTTTTATAATGTGGTGTTGAGGTTAACTCTAGATAATCATATTTGACGAAACAGTTGTAAAGTAATATTTTGAGAGTTAATAGTTTGTGGTTATAGTCATTGAATCGTTTTCAGTTCTTAATTATTGTTTGTACTAATTATTATTCATTTAGGTGTTGAAAAATAACATGAAAGAAGCGGGTACCATCAGAGAAAACAGTTCTCTAGGCCAGATGGTCAGGGTGAGCGGTTATAATATAACCCACTAATTCAATGTAATTTTAATGGGAAATTATGTTTGATTGTTTGATAAAGTTCAATTGATAGTTGTATTCATTTCTTTGTTGGGACTTGGGAGAGTTATCCATAACGATGGAAGAACTTAATTTGTGATTAGATACTTGTTATTTTCATGATTGATTAAGTTTTAATGAATGGAATATAAACAACTTTTTTATAATTTGTATTATTAATCTGCTTAATAACGTCATATTGTTGGAATCTTTATCTTGGAGTCACAAGCCAATATGTTTATCACTATTATGTATGTTTTTCAAACATGTCCTTATTTCTATGATTTGTTTTATTTTGGTTATTTATTTAGGTTTTGCATATTGTAACTTGCATATGAAATAAAACATCGAACCACAACACAAGGAATAGTGTGGTGTGTCATCTGTACCAGTTTCCGCGGGTTACACTTATATATTATAGTCTTTTTTTGGCCAATTTTACTCATTTTTTCAGAGATAATATTATTTTGAGTATTTTGTATGATCATTCCATCTTTTATCTCGTAGGCCCTAACTTGTTCGAATGTTTAGATTAAAAACATATTATTGGCATCGTCTTACAAAAATAAGGTAAATCAGATCAAAACATTGATTTTTAAACTACAAGCAGGAAGTAGTATATTAATTTTGTGTATCGTTATGTTTATAATAAACAATATTGACACAGAAGAGTGTGTTTTGTTCATTGTTTTGGACTATGAACAAGTGCGTCAGAGAAGTGAGATCATGTACAGAATAACTTATTATACAGTGTAACTGCTATGATCAGTTTTTAACTAAATCTTTAAGAGACCAACTCAATTAAGCGACTCTATTTTAATGATAATAGATTAATGTTCATTCATATCACATGTATGTATAAATTTAGTTCAGCTACTTACATATCGGGTAGACCTATACCCTTTTACTTTACCGGTTGGAGAGTGGAAAATGTAGATAATTGTCTTTCCGAAGGACATTAGTGCCGCAGCGGGACTCGAACCGCGAACCATGAGATCAACATTCCGGTGACGTGTCCACTAGACCACAACGCCCCGATTATTATTTGTTTAATAAATAAAAGATGCTGAAGTTCATCTTAAACAAAGCACACTTGGACGCCCTCAAGTTTTAGCGATATAAAAAACCTTCAAGATAGCCGTCCTGAGCGAAATAAATACACAATCTGCCCTAGGGACAATAATGTACAACAAATGGTTGTCTTGGGAAGCCCGTCTATTTCCGGATAGGGTCCGTAGCTAAATCATTGTTGTGTATTGTAATAATAATAATAATAATAATAATAATAATAATAGTTCAGTTCTTGTATGGCGCATAAAACGTCATGAAATAACATTTCTATGCGCTTCCAAAAAGTTTTGAAAATCATTACCCTAGCTTTAGCTCCGGCAGCCGTTATCAGCGCACAGTGCATTTCAAGGAATAATCATACCATGTACCAGGTACCAATTTACCTCACCTGGGTTGAGTGTGACAAATATAGATCAACTTCTTGCCAAATGACATTAATGCCGCGGCGGGACTCGAACCGCGGGCATTGTGATCGACAGTCCGGTGACGTATCCACTCGACCACAACACCTCTGAAAGCCGAGCCTTTAGGCCCGAATTCACAAAGGAGGTTTGTCGACAAACCTAGGTTAATGTGCTTCATTATTATGACTCGTTTCGACGCGTTTTTACAAACATTGGTCCGTAAAAACGCGTCGAAACGCGTCATAAATTATGACGCACATAAACCTAGGTTTGTCGACAAACCTCCTTTGTAAATTCGGGCCCTTGTGTTTATAAAGCCTTGGTTGTGGGCTGTACAACGAAGAAAGTGAACCAAAATAGTACTCACTATTGGAAATTTATATAAAATGTAGAGTATTAGGAATCAATATTATAATCATCGGTACAACATATATTTCATGCAATCTTTTGGTGGAGTTCTTCTGCTGTGATGTTGAGGGCGCTTTCTGTTGTGATATATCACGTGACGTGATCTTGTTTATTGAGGTGTATCGTGGTGGCGCCCCCAACTTTCGTGACATTACACATGAGCGAGAGTAAAGAGTCACTAGACGGAGCTACTTTTGGTTACAGGTATGCGAACGGAACCGTGCAAGTAAATATGCAATGTAATTGAAATGAACACTTGGTACATAATGATAGGCTTATATTCCTAGTAGGCCTAATAGTACATATTCACAAATTAAGTTCACAGTATAAGTTCACTACATATATACAGGTAATTATAAGCACAAATATTCATCTTTGTGGTCTAACTTATGACAAAGCTGAGAAGTTAGTAAATATTATTAATCCAAGTACATGTAACGATCGAAGAGATGATGTAAATATATAATCCAGTTCGATATACGTGTATACAAACCATTGTACGAATCAATACGTGGCTTACCGATATTAAACGTAAGAGGGCTTCATGCTATTGTATATGAATATATAGGGGGTAGTAATACATTTGTCATATGGCTATCCTGTAATTTTTGTATTTATTTATTAAGTTTTATTTTAGAAGGGTAGTTCCATTCAAGCCAAAAAATAAATATAATGGCCTGCTTTTCAAGGAAGCCCTACATTACACAGGTGCATAAAATAACATCACATTAATACAAAACAACACAAATTTAACACAGAACTACGTAATAGTATAATAATTATTTAATAAATGGATGCTCTAAACGAATACATTACAAAATTATTTACAAAATTATCTTAAATAACAACAAAAACCAGGGCCTACAGCCCACTTATTCATTATATTTGTTTTAAAAAATCTAGCACAAAAATATATGAATACTATATTTGAGGAGAAAAACAAATAATAGGATATTAAACTACCCCCCCCCCCCCCCTCCCAATGAACGAAAACAATAAGGTAGCTAAAACGTAACAACATTTTACATGTTTGGACTTCTAAAGAGTGTGGGATAAAGATCGGCAACATATTTTAAATAGAGGCAATGAACTACTCGATTGAATATTTAAAGGGAGTTTGTTGAAAAGATATGGACCTTGGTTTATAAAACTGTGTTTACGGTATTCGGTAAATACCTGGGGAACAATTAATTTACTAATACTATTCTTTAAAAAAAAAAATCTGGAACAAAAACAAATGAATACGTTGTATCAATGTCGATCTTGGTATTGGTCGACACCCCGGTCGACATCATGTTGATCATATACAAATATACACTGTCTTGAGAGGCTCTGGTGAAAACTATGGGCAAAAATGTGACATGCAATAGTGCTATTTTTGATCATGTGACACACTTTTAACCAATCAATGAACAGAATATATGAATGACGTATATTCTTGTTCATTGATTGGTTAAAAGTGTGTCACAAACGAAATGAATGCAGAGTAATTCAGGATCTATATAATGAACAATACAATCTATTGTTCATTATATATATATATATATAGATCCTGAATTACTCTGCATTCGTTTCTTTATATTTTTCATTATTTCATTCATTCAGTATTATATGAATCATTTATTCCTTTGGTTTTTCCAATGGAAACTTCAAAAGGAAATTTGCCTTGTTCACACGATCCCATTATCTGGACATTTCTTAAACGTTTACTTTCCATAAAGAAATGATTATATCTGAACAGGTTTTAGGCATAAATCACAGGAAGATGAACCGACAACCCCCACACCCCCTCCCTCCCCCCCCCCCCCCGGTCTAGACATGACCGACAAAAAAAAGGCAATACAATTTATTAAGTGGCTGCATGCCCTTGATAAGTTTCAGTCATCTCACCTTACCTGCATTCCTGTATAAGTTTATCCAATTCCTGGTATTTTCGTAATATTGTTTCCTTTTAAATATTCATGTGATTTCGCATCTGAATCTTGTTGTCTTCCATTGTGTCGTATATCCACAAATAGCATATATGAGTAATTCCATAAATAAGGGACCCACTTAGTGACATTTTTGGTGGCCCACTTACATAAGGAACCCACACGTATTTGTAGCTTTGAGTAAAGACTTAAATAGTTTGAGTGAGATTGTAACGTGATTTCCAAGCATAATATTGCATCCTCATATACGGTCATACCTAGAATCACTGACTTAACATCTCACTCCACTAGTTAAGTCTCTACTTCGAGCCACAAATACGTGTGGGTTCTTTATGTAAGTGGGACACCAAACATGTCACAAAGGGTCCCTAATTCATGGAATTACCTATATTATTGTTATTAACAAATGATTTGATTTGATTCATCGACATGATTAGATTCTAGCACCAAGCCTTAAATTTTTAAGCTGTAAATGGAAGGTTCTTCACGCAAACCACAAATATTTTGCAAAATAAAGTATACCCATATGCCGACGATCTTGTTTATATAATTCGTACGAACAAAAAAATTTAACATGTTATGTTATTCTGATGCCGGTGAGGAAGACAATGAGCGTAGGCGTATGCACGTGTGTATGTTTGCGTGTGTGTGCGTGTGCGTGTGTGTATATGTGTGTGTTTGTGTGATAGAGAGTTCCAGAGAGAAAGGGCAAACACAGAGAAAGGGGTAGAGAGAGAAAGAGAGAGAGAGGTGTGTGTGTGTGGGGGGGGGGGGTGAGTTAAACTCCAAAAACAGCTGCCACCTTCTCTCTTTTTTTGCCTAAAAATTTATTGAATACTTTTTACTGCACTTAGATCGATGCACAATTTAATTATTTTGTACTTACACAAAATAAAACAAAAGATATGTCGAATCATATAAGATAAATTCTCTTCTTTTCTTTTAATATAAAACGTTCTAATTCTACTTGCGTAGTATCCTGATATTAATCATTGTCAAATGTTTTCTAAACCAAGATAGATATTTCTGACTACATAATTATTAAGAACTCCTTGATTGTATTGAAGTAAATGCAAGTATCACTTCAATGTATAGTGAGCGATATCTGTGATAAAGTGCTCCACGATAATATTTTGCACTGGCCGAATTCCTAGACTTTAGCTACCCTGAACCAAACACTAAACATAACCCTAACCCTTACCCTACCTAACCTAGCCAAACCCCAAAGCATGCGTAATTGTTACCCTATACCTTTGACGAATGAAATTCCGGAGAATTTGTCGCCCGAGCCAGGGCCGTAGCCAGAGTTTGATTTTTTTTATTTTTTTTATTTATTTTTTTTTTTTTTTATTTTTTTTGGGGGGGGAGGGGCACATACATGTAATTGATCGACGTCCTGGGAGGGGTCTAAAAAGTTCAACCGGTGTTGTAAATTTGGGGAAGGCACGGGCTTCCCCCCCCCCCCCCCCCCCCCCCCCCCCCCCCCCCCGCCCCCCCCCCCCCCCCCGTGCTACGTGCCGTGGTAGGCCTGAGCAAATGTCAGTACACAGAAACAGAAAGAAGACGTATAAAGGTTAGACGTGTGTAAATTAAATATTAGAATGTTGAAGTGAAACAACATTATGGGAAACGCCTCTATTGAGTGTAAATATGAATGCCTAATAATAAACTCAAGTTAGGTTCGGTTCAGTTTAAATCTTATCAAGATCTATTATGTTCTCGAAAGCTTTGATGGAGATAAATTAGAAAACACATGGTCATATTTGCTCGTTTGCAGCTTTCGATTCGATTATTGCCAATGACGCAGTTTGTTTTTGTTCAGGAGGAACCGCTCTTATTCTGCACACTCACCCCTCTCTGTCTGTCTCTCTCTCTCTCTCTGCTCTCTTTCTCTCTCCCTCTCTCTCACTCACTCTCTCTCTCTCTCACACACAAACACACACACACACACTTTCTCTCTCTGTATCTCAGTATCTCTCTTTCTCTTTGAATTGTGTTCTCTTTCATTCTTTGATTTTATATGTGCCCCTAGCCACCATCTATTATAGCTACAACTGTCGTAATTGCTAACTTTGAGCACTATATATAATATTATTATGAAGCGCTACAACAAAATCATGGCGTAAAATCCATAAAACTTTATCAATATGTAATATCTTCGATCTTCGATGAATTAAATGTGTGTTTGTATTGTGGTCATTAGCAAAATGTTGCTTTCCTGTTGACAAAAATGGTCTTTACCCCCCCCCCCCCCTCCCATCGTGAATGAAGTTTCTAGCGACGCCCCTGTCAGTTATGTTGATCAGTGATTAACATGAATTATAAACGAATCTAATGTCTTTCTATTTATACAAACCATGATAATTAATATCTCAGTTGCGACACCTGAGTATATGAAAAGTCGAGTGCAGATCTCTTCCTTCCTCATTCGGCGCTAGAAGCAGAGAGAGCTAGAAGGGCGATTTTCTTCCAGCGCAGTTTACAAACAGATTTTCGTTCGAAATGGCGACGCTGAAGAAAATAAATTCCCATATTTTGGTGGGCCTTGTGGTCGGTTGCGCCCTGCTCCAACTGACGCAAGGCTTCACGATCGGGGACTACCCTAAGTGGAAGCTGGCTGGCTGGAACAAACTACCAGGCTTCAAGGCGAGGATCACTCAAAAGGGTCTGGACTTCTGTGAGTATAATACCAAGAAACTGAGTTTTGTTTCAGTCAATCCAGGCTTTTTATGTATTTCATTATGTAATAGTTTGACCGGGGTCAATTTTAAGTTTGTAGGAGATTTTGGTGAGCACAGAGATTAAATGTGTTTGTCTTATCCTGTTTGGGAGAATATTCTGGTCTGATTCTAATAGTTTGTCAATTTCTTTGTTTTATTCATTCATGAGCCCCCAAAACGTAAAAGAAAATCAAATCTTCTAATATAACAATTATGACTTATCATCATCATTATAATCATCAAGTGCCAGTACTGTTACAAACATCGGCGGTCATGGATCTCCATTTCAGTCTATTATCTGATATTTTTAAAAAGCTGATATTGCTGATTTCTCTTTCGGTTGCCTATTATTGTGTTCAGGCTTTTCAAATATGTCAAGCGTCGCCTTCTTTTGCTTCTCTTTCTAGCAATCCTGCGCGTTGATATCGTTTTTTTTTTTTATCTAGATGATCCTTTCTGTATATGTGACCAAGAAATTGCATTTGTCTCTTATTGTGTTGATGAGTGATGGTTTCACTCTTGCTTTATTGAACACTTCTTCATTTGTTATCCTTTCTGTCCATGATATATTCATACTCCTTCTGAACAACCAGGTCTCTGTAGCCTCTAATCTTCTTTCAATCTCTTTAATTCCTGTGCAACATGTCTACAAGACCGGGAATGTTTTTACTCTAAATATGCACATGCATAACAAGAACAACAAGTTAAAATGTGGAATAGCAGGATATGTGAAAGTCTCCACATAATACACACACAACCAGTGCGTTTATCTTCATCCCCTTGAAGCAGCACTTACACTGGAAGAAGAAGAAGAAGAAGAAGAAGAAGAAGAAGAAGAAGAAGAAGAAGAAGAAGAAGAACACTCATACCCGTAGAGATGCACTGACCAGGCATTTGACTATGAGACACGAAATTTGGATTTCATAGTAAAGTTCCTATTTTTCATTACGGATTTCATCTTGTTAAATGTATCCCTTTCGACTACTGACCCTATAATGATCTAAATATTAGTGAACCGATTGGGTTCAAACATTCATGTCTATCTCTCACCTCAAGAATTCAAATCTGTTTAACTTTCAAATATCACGAAATGACCTTAAAGGTGCTATGTCCCATTTGTAAGCCAAAAAATGGAAATATTAAATTCCAACGACATTTGAAAGACAATACTAATTTAGAACTTCCCTCAAAACGAAAGAGCTTGAAAATGTTTTTTAGTGGGAAAATGACGACCATTAGTTGTCGAATAGACTTAAGTGGTTGCAAACACCTACATGTAAGTAATAGTCTGAGGTTTGTCTGTTTTGTCTGCAAATCTCCTTTGTGAAGTCGGGCCTTAAACTTGTTAATGCTTAAAAACGTTATGACCTAAAAATGTTACAATGAAGAACCTTTTGAGACCTTAAACTTCTAACGAATCCTGAATGATTCTGACCCTGATTAGTGTTTCTGTATTCAATATTCTTACAGTCAGAGATATCGGCATGGAGACGATTCAGAAACACATCCGAGAAATGCATATTCCTAGTCAGCACGGCTCAGCTGGTCCCATCTACTACGCCGCAACAAAGTAAGCTTTTTTAGAAGACTTTTTGGTCAGTACATTCAACTAGTTCAGTTAAAACTGAAGAAGAAACAAGGATTGTAGGAATCATGTTTAACGAAGAAAAACTTACATTCTACAAATTCAGTTAAACCCGACCCTGGATTATAAGATCATGACTGTTTAACAAATGAAAACTTAGACCTCGATCTACTTGACTTCCTTTGTTAAACCCGCTTTCGAACTATAAGAGATTAAGGCCCCTCTAAAGTGGTGGGAGCCCAAATAAAGTTGATGGCAAAATTTCACTTAAATTGAATCATACATGTGAAAGAGGGTGTCATTTAAAACACATTTCTGCAGGTATTTTCAACAAATATGTTTGAAGTCGAATATTGATGAAAGAATACAGAATTAGGTTTTCTGCGTACAATGACATCCTTTTTCACATTTTCGTCCCTATTTTCACGAAGTGACGGTAGTGAATGAAAATCGCATACAATTTGCGTGCGGATTTCCTCACTACCGTCACTTCGTGAAAACAGGAAATTTAAGTGAAATTTTGTCATAACATTTTTGGTGAATTTGGGGCTCCCCAACACTTAAGAGGATTTTAAATCGAGCAGCGGGTTTGAATTTTAGTAGAATACGCGGGTCTTTATGACTGAAATTCATTTTCTACCTTCTAACATGAAATTTGGTCAAATAGACTAGTATTACTAGTAGCCTAGTTTTTAAAAATTACCTGAACACATGAGAACAAAATATTGGGTAAAAGAGCAAAAGCTCAACTGCACAGTGAAATTGACTCCATTTGCTTCATGGAAGATGTGAGGACGTATCTGAAGAAATTGTAATAAAACATAAGCTTAAAATAATTTCCCTTTTTTTTTAATACTGTTTTTTAGACAGTAATGGGTTGTTTATAAAAGAGTTGCTGGAAACCAATTCCCCGAAAATCACACCTCACTGTGGCTGTAGAAAACGCATTTAAACGGTGTAATGCACGGAGTCGGGACTATTCCCTTTATTTCCTCATTTTTGTTTTTCTTCTTTCTCAGTCAGACATTCTTCAACAACAAAGAAAGAAAAGGCGTTTGCCTAATTATTTTACTCACTATTATGAACAACCAATCCAATGTTAGTTTGATTCTTGGAGAATGCCATGTTCCCTCGTCACACTCTAGAACTTGATACTTCCTTTGAAGATGATGGAAACAAGCAACTTCAGAGAAATCAAGGTAAAGTTAGTAACTTCTAAAGAGCATGCGTGCTTGCATGGTATCGTCTTCGCTTAAAGGCCAATCAACTTTCTTTAATAACGAGTTCATTCATTGTGTATGAAAAGCAGCGACATAAGAGAAACAGAATGGCGCGAGTTTGAAAAAACAGGACCATTAAGAAGAAGGTTGTATGAGTGTTTGAAATATGCGTCATTATATCTATGAGAGTTGTTGGAACACATGAGAAATTTGTCACATTGACATAACCGATTCAGCCAATTGAAATTCTCATAGTTACGCAGAGTTATGACAACTTTAAAAAATGAGTTACTTTCTTATCGCTTATTGTTTCTTTGGTTTCGGTCAAACTGTTATTAGTCAGCTGATCTGATCATTTTGCTTTCTTTTTAGATTATTTCTCTAAGTGGATGCCTTTTGTCTCAGCTGTCAACAAGACTGGGCATGATCAAAGAGGGTGTTTCATTTCCTCGTATCAGCTGGAAATAAAGAGTATGCCAATTGAAAGGGAAAGAAAAGTGGAAGGGGAAGAGAGCCATAGTGGTTCTAGAGGGGGATCGGGTCTCAAGCACCCCTACGTCCAAAATAGAAAATATCGAAGTCCAAGTTAATAATAATAATAACGTGCTAGAACCAAGTCTGGAAGAGAGAGAAAGAGAAAGAAATCCCTACTGCAATTACAATTTATTTGGACGAATAATTGAAAGTTGATTTTCTTAAGGACTTTTAAAGTGAGTTGTTTTCGAATTGGAAAGCGATGTAGTTTACTTAGTACGTCTTCTTCTTGGGTGTCAGTTCCAAAGTGGAGGAAATACAAAAATGTATAGGGGAGCTTGGTCATTAATGACAAATGTTGATGGGGGAAACACAATCAAGCTATCACTTCCCTGTTGCTGTTTCTACTGCTACAATAAACCAAGTTTGCTTGATGATTGAAAAAATAGTGGCGTAGAAAAAA